CTCTCTATTCTTGAGTAGGGGCAAGGTCTGCGTACGCACACCCTCCCCAGACCCTACTCTCGTGGGATTCACATGATATTATATTTTTCTCTGGAAACAGCCTCTCGTTTTTTATTTCACATGATATTATAATTTTCTCTCAACCTCTATTTTTTTGAACCATTTTGAAAAGCTCATAGAAATAAGTACTTTGTAGATTAAGTCAACAATTTATTTTGGAATATTTATTTTTCTGTTATTTTTCTTATTTCAGTCAATTAAGTATAAGTAAAAATGTTATTATGTGACGGGCATAGTATTTGTATGAAAATAGAGTGGGTGGAACATTTGCATCAGAATAGAGCGGGCAAATTTTTTTCTTTATAAAATAATAACTCCGTACGTTAAGTCTGCAATTTATTTTGAAGTACTCGTATTTATTTCCAATCAGTTTCCGAAAAGCAATGTGTATGTTTAGGAAAAAAACTAAACCAACATATCTTCTTGTATGCCACACCATTGAATGGAGAAGTCCTTAGCTCTTTTAACTTCATTGTTTTTGTTAAATTCACATAGCCTTCTTCTCCACTAAATGAATAATAAGTGGTTGTGTTTTCTAAAATTAGCCATTGACTTGCAGTGTTTGCTCACTTCCTAAACACTTAAAAAATATTATCTCACTCTATTTTTATATTCCCTCCACCCCTCCATATTTATCCCTTTTTACCTTTTTTGTTTGTACCAGTTTTTTTGTCGTATACAATATCTGGTCATATTTGTGTGGTTCAAATTCATTCTTAGTTTCTTACTTTATCTTACATTTTAACATCACTATCAATCTTACAATCCTACTTTTCTTAATTCTTGTGCCACTCCCTCATGTCCCAAAAATAGTGGGACAAAGGGAGTAGCATGTATGCTTTTCTCAGACTTGATATACACAGTTAATGGGACGTGATCCATTTATTTTCAGTCTTTCTTTTTTGAATATTTAGTTTAGTTTCAGTTAATAGAATGTTTTTGGAGTGTAAACGTTGTGAGTATGCAATATCTCATTTGTAACATTTTATAGCTTCATCTGCTTAAGAAAACTGTTCACCATTAGAAGTAATTGTGTTTACAATGATACTTTACTGCTACTAATTGTGTTCTAATAATGTTAAAGGCTATATTGATTTTTTGAATAACCTGAACTCACTAATCAGTATTTCACGTGGTTAGTCTTATCTTATTTTGTTTTTTTCCAGGGAATCTATGGTTATCCTATTGAAATTCAAGCTCTGTTTTTTATGGCACTGAGGTGTGCGTTGGGGATGTTAAAGCAAGATGCTGAAGGGAAAGAGTGCATTGAGAGAATAGTAAAACGTCTTCACGCTTTGAGTTACCACATGAGAAGTTACTTCTGGCTTGACTTCCAACAACTAAATGACATTTATCGTTATAAAACCGAAGAATATTCCCATACAGCAGTAAATAAGTTTAACGTGATTCCCGATTCAATCCCAGATTGGGTATTTGATTTTATGCCTACACGCGGTGGCTATTTTGTTGGCAATGTAAGCCCTGCAATGATGGATTTTAGGTGGTTTGCTTTGGGTAATTGTGTAGCCATTTTGTCTTCCCTTGCCACTCCGGAGCAAGCTTCTGCGGTTATGGATCTCATTGAAGCACGTTGGGAGGAGCTGGTTGGGGAGATGCCTTTAAAAATAACTTATCCTGCACTGGAAAATCATGAATGGAGAATCGTTACTGGCTGTGATCCCAAAAACACAAGATGGAGCTATCACAACGGAGGGTCTTGGCCAGGTTTTCCCCTGAATTTCTTTACTGTCTTTTAGTACTCGCATTCATAGTAGTTTGGTAGGTTTTTGTGACTGTCTCAAAATTCGCTTGGCAGAAAAGACATGACTTTGTTTCTCTAACACGACATGTTGTTTCTTGGTTTTCACTCAAATGGCAGTGCTGTTGTGGTTGCTAACGGCTGCATGCATAAAGACCGGGAGACCACAAATTGCAAGGCGGGCTATTGATCTTGCTGAAAGCCGGCTGCTGAAAGATGGGTGGCCGGAATACTATGACGGGAAACTCGGGAGATACATTGGCAAGCAAGCGAGGAAGTACCAGACGTGGTCTATTGGCGGATATCTGGTTGCGAAAATGATGCTGGAAGATCCTTCGCACTTGGGGATGATCTCATTGGAAGAGGACAAACAAATGAAGCCTGTCATCAAGAGATCATCTTCATGGACTTGCTGATGATTGCATCATCCTCCTCCATGCTGAATTGCTGAGAATAATTGATAAGGAAATGTTAAAGCTGATTCATTCCATCTCTCTCTGGCTTAGTTACAAAGACATTTTGCTCATTATTTCTGTTCGAGCATTAATTTGTTGTGTAGATTTATTGTTGATGATGCCTAATGTATGGAATTTCACATTTTCAAAGGAGGCTCAGAAATTCAGGAATAAAAAAAAAGTGAGAATAGATGAACATGTTAAGGCTCGGTATTGGTTTATGGAGATTCCTGAACATGTTGAGTGAGAATAGATGAACATGTTGAGACATAAAAGAGATGGAAGAAAGAAAATTTCATCCATTGAGTGATTCCTACAAGCCACACATATATTTAACCAGAGTGTTTAGAAAAAATGACTAATGTAGGAGTAAAACATAAAAGAATGTAAAAAAAGTTCTATGTCTTTATTCCAAAAGTAGGGTTACAATGAAAATAAATTGTCAATCATTGAATAAAAAATAGGTTTGATTACATTATGTGATATGTCGTATATTTAAAACAAAATCTTGTAATATATAAAATATATTACAAATATATTATTTTATAATAAATGCAACATAGCCATAATAACTTATAAGTATTTAACATTTTCATATTTATGCTAATTTTATATTCTACTACCTCCGTCCCAATTTATAATGCCTGTTTCGGTTTACGATGTTTGACTGAAATTATTTTCAAACCATTTTACATGACAAATGGTATAGAATTAAAAAATAAAAATTATATATTAAAAAACTACATCAAAAGATCTACAAAACTAGTAGTGACAATAATATTTTATTTTATCAAATTGCTAATGAAAATAGAGAAAGAAAGTAAATAAAGTTTGATCCTGTGAATAGTAAACAGACATTATAATTTGGGACGAAGGGAGTAATTAATTTTTTATAAAACTTTTGTAAAACTTTTTTTTGATTTTTCCAGTTTTTTCCAATTTCTTCCAGTTCCTTCCAGTTTCTTCCAGTTTCTTCTAGTTTCTTCCAGTTTCTTTCAGTTTCCAGCTTTTTTTTTCCAGTCCTAAAGAACAGGCTCTAAATTACTAATTCTAACACAGTAACATACTATCCCCCATTGAAGAATTTTGTCTTCAAAGTGGAAAATATAGAAATCTGATTGCCAAGTCTTCAGCCCATTCCAAACAGAGTTTTAGCTGAGTTATTGCGTTTATTTGGCCATCTAGTAAAAGGACTCGTACGGGAATTCGCAAGCTATTTTGCCTTGCAGCCAAGAGGCTAGGGTATGTGTGGCTTATAAAGATGACAATATCTGTCTTACTCGATGTGACTCGCTCACCCGGTCTGTTATAGTGGAAAAAAACCCGAATAAATATGGATAATTAACGAATTAGATAATGTATTGGATATATGCGGGTGGAGATTTTTCTTAACCGTCACTCGATCTATCACCTGACTCATCCATATTTGTAAAAAAAAAAATAATACCATGATTAAAAAAAAGCTACGCATGTGTCATTTCAAATAAAAACTAATTTAATAATGGTCCAAAGTTTTACATGAACTCAATAGATATATTAACATCATTTACAACATTTGTTTAATCTTTATGACATCTTTTGATAATACAAATGCATGTGGTACTATCTTTGACCATGTAAATATGAAAAGAGAAGAGAGCACTATGGAAAAACCATGGATACAAACATAGTACGTCGATTATTAACCAAAATTTTATTCGTACATTATTGATAAAGTAATTGAGTTTTACATATTTTTATTAAATGCAAAATGTTGAAGAGTAAAGAAATAAATGTGTGAGTTCATCAAGAATTTTGGGAAAAATAGTTAAAAATTAACTTGGTTAGCATACGACAATTTTGTAGATATAGTTGAACTTTCATTTTTAATTGCATTTATGATTTTATGAGAACTTAGTTTGAAGTAATTTATTGTTATATAGTATTGATGTTTTATTATCATTACTATCTTTTCCTTTATAATAGTCTAATGAATTTTAAATATTATTATTGTTATTGTTATTATTATTATTATTATTACTATTATTTCACTTACTTCACCCACAAATGATGGAAGAATCGAGTGATAAATTTTACTCCATCCGTCCCATAAAGTGTTACCCATTTTGACTAAAGTAGAAATTAAGGGAGGGATAATTTTGTGTTGACCTTCCTAAAATAACCTTGATTTGATGTGTAAAAGTAGGATGTGATGTGTAGATTATAAGGAAAAAGGTATGATTTGAAAAAGTAAGGGGTAAAAGTGGTTTTTTAATAGAAATGGGTAGGAGATTGTGGAACGCAAGTTTTTTGAAAGGTGTAAATCTTTTTAGAACGGAGGAAGTATATGTTACGGATGATGAATGAATCAGGTGATGGACGGAGAGTGAATGAATAGATGAGAGTGATCCATTGAGGAGGCAATGTCCCTTTAAATAGTGTTAGGAGGGAATCATAAAAGTCATTCCTGGCACAATCGGGGAGGGTTAGTTTATAAGCTACCGGTCCCACTTTGGCTTGAACATGGAAGGGACCAGAATACTTGCCTTTATTTTCGCATTTGTGTCCCTTCTCAAATGGCTTCTCACAATAACAATAATACGGAGTAATATATATATATACTATATATAAAGAGAAAATAAAATGATATATGTTTTTTCCCGCCTTTAGTTGGGCATGTCTAGACAAAATACTTGATAGGTTACAATAATGTCACTCTATAAATACTTGGTAGCATAAGCATATCCTTCACCCATTTCAACTCCCTCATCTCTCTTGCTTTTCCTTCGTTCCTTGCTTTCTAATGCTATGAACATTTTCATCAATTTCTCTCTCTCTCTCTCTCTCTCTTACCATCTTTCCAATTTCATTGCGTTTACCATTGGCGGTTCCTGCACCATATATAGCAGCCCTTTCGATCCACACTTACACCGACTCTCTCTGCATTCTATTTCCACATGATTTTATTTCGAGGTATCTCCAATCATTTTATTTTTCTGCATTTTACACCGATCAAATTTCTGCAATGCCTTTTGGGTGCTATCCCAATCTATACGGTCTTCTGGATGAAATTAACTGCACAAAGACGGATTGCGCATTAACATTGCATGTTGTGAAAAAAAATTCTTTAAGCATAGAATGGTTCAAACAAAGATGGCCTGCTGGGGAGGATATGAAAGAACAAAGAGTATTTCTGAGGACAATGACAATATAAGGCAATCATTGTTGGACGAGTTTGATTCACCACTTCTTCTAAGAAGTGGCGTTATATGAATGTTGAAAAAGAGATGCTGCACATACATAATTAACTGGGGATGGGGATTGGTGTGTGCCCATTGCTTATGTTTTTATCTATGTATTGGTTGTATTTCTTAAAAGAATCATGCTTTCTTATCATGTCTGTATCAATACATTCCCATTTGAATCTTATTCATTACTTATCTTCTTTAACTTTGTATATCTTGGCTAATTTCTAATTAAACAGCAAAAATAATGTCATTTGCAAAATAGCCATTGACCTTTTTTTGAAGGAAAAGTCCTTGCACTATTAATAATTCTTTTCCTACATTATTGGGATACACCCCTAATCCGACTCTAGAATATTTTGATGTCTTTCTGTTGAAACCTGTAAGCAGGGTCCTAACACTACCCGACCTCATTTACACATAGGAGCCATTCAATTAAAAGTCAGATGTAATCCATGTGTTAATTTTTCTACTCCTTTCGTCCCACAAAACATTACCCATTTTGATGTATTTTTGGTCAAACAGTTATACGTTTTGACCATAAATTAAATATAATCTAAATAAAGAAATGCTATACTACCTTCGTTCCATTTTATAACGCCGATTTCGGTTTACGATGTTTGACTGAAATTATTTTCAAATCATTTTATATGACAAATGGTATATAGTTAAAAAATAAAAATTACATATTAAAATACTACATCAAAAGATTTACAAAAGTAGTAGTGACAATAGTACTTTATTTTATCAAATTGCTAACGAAAATAGAGAAAGAAAGTGAATGAAGTTTGACCCTGTGAATAATGAACATGCATTATAATTTGGGACGGAGGGAGTAAAAATTTGATATATCAAAACTAGATCCTAAGATGAATCCAATTAGATTAAATTTATATTATACCCGGAGTAATTCAATATACTTTTTTCACAATTTGTAGTCACAATGTACTCTACATGGTGTCATGGTGATGGGTGAAAACTGTGAAATGGAAGGATCCACTGGACATATACTCACTCCGTAGAAGAGCTCAGACAATAGGTATCAAAAGTAAAATGGATTTGAATGTTTTTAGTCGATAGAGATGTATGAAGTTGATTACTTAATACAGTATCTACAGAATCATTAAAATTAATGATCATTTAAATTATAAAATTGGAGGTACAGTGTAGGGCTCCAACATGTATTCAATTCATATTGTACATTACTAAGTTGGAGGCACTAAAATTAATTTAATTACTCCGTAGTTCTTTATAATACATTATAAAGAATGAATTACTGAATTGCAAAAAAATGAAAAATACATATAACATGTAGATTCATAGAACAGACATCTGCACATTGATTAACACCTACAACCATTCATTTATATTCAGTGTATGACTCATAAATTAAAGAACAAACGGTAAATTACATTCATAAGAGTCCAGATATTAAAAGTCCAAAGTACATCTCCATTTTTCCACTTTTTTCTACACCTCCAAATCTGTCATAAATATATCTATTACGTAGTATATATAAAAAGATCAAAGAGCTTCATCCGATCAGTAACTTTTGTTCAAAGAATTCAAATCAAATAAACCTTGAAATCAGTTACATACGGATTTTTTCCTAGGGTTAATAAATTGTACTGCATCTCTTGCTGTAGTAAAAAATGAAAAAGTTACGGACGAAAGACGCGCAACCATGAAGAGAACGGAAGCTTCCAGAGATGAGAGAGAAAGAAACAGATATGAAGACAAAAAAAATGAGGTGGGGGGGAAAACAGACTACACAAACGACCAGGCCGGCTAATATTTGTTTACTCCGTAGTTTAATAACTTCATTAGAAAAACTCAGCTCCTTGGTGGTTTCAGGAAAAAAAATGCACTTTGGGCTTTTCAATAAACAAGGATTTGGGCTATATGTTGGTCTCCATGAAAAGAAATGCACTTTGGGCTTTTCAATAAACAACGATCTTCATTTTTCGGATCATTTCGGTTTTGGTTTCGGATATTTCAGTTCGGGTAATCGATTCTGGTTCTGTTTTACCAGGTCTAGAGGAGACTTATTCTTACAAGTTTTTTTATAACATTTCTTACAACAGTGCATAGGGGATGTGTTACGGTCGGGCTGTGGTGTGGGGGTTTATCGAGGGGTGACTTTACTCCAAGTGCCGAAAATGCACTACCACACTGTAAAAATGCATCGTGATGACATAAAAATGAAGCACTCTCACGAATTTGGAGCTCCTTTGGTGCACCTCCAAATACGAGGATATTATGTAATGCACTAAATGTCTGTTCTTTATGACTGAAAAAAGAGTTGGATGTTGGAAGAAACTAAAAAACTAGAAGAAATTGGAAGAAATTTGAAAAAACTAGAATGGTGCGCGAAAAAACTAGATGAAACTGAACGAAATTAGATGAAACTAGAAAAACTGGAAAAGTTGGAAAATCTAAAAAAAACTATAAAAAATTTATTTCAGTTTATTTTTTTATATTATTCTCATTCTAATTATTGTTGTTATAATTTATTACTATTATTATTATATTCATAATCACGTTATCTTAATCAATGTCTTTAAGATGAAAAAAGTGTTGTCATTTTTCATTAAAAAAATCTACTTTCACAAAACAAAATTAATTAGAATATAAAGTTAGCATAAATATTAAAATATTAAATTTTAAAAAGTTATTGTGGTTACGTTGCACCTCAATTTATTTATGCAGTATTTATTATAAAAAAAATTCGTAATTATATTTTATGTATTACAAGATTTTATTTTAAAGATCATACATTCAGACATGTCACATAATGTGATCAAATCCTTTTTTTCTTTAATGATTGACATTGTATTTGTATTGTAAGTCTTATTTTTGGAATAAAAATATTTTTAGAACTCATATTTGGTACATTTTTATGTTTTACTCATTGTTTAGTATTTTTCTCTAAAATATTTTGACTTTCAAAATTTTTTATAAAAATTAAAAAAAATTCTCATATCAATTTAGAAGAGTGTGAATCATAAGAATTGTGACATGAAAAAAATAAAAATGAAATAGTTTATAAACTGTAGTAATGAACATAATAGTTGTAATTATAATGAATGAAGATAATAATAATAATAATAATAATAATAATAATAATAATAATAATAATCACATTAAAAATACATTGTTTTTAGATTAATTATTTGGGAAGTAGAGAAAGTTTAAAGAAAATGAGAATAGTTAGAAAAAATTAGAAAAAATTGAAAGAAACAAGAAGTTAAGAGCTTAAGCTCTAAAGAACAGACTCTAAATTTTTCTAAAACGAAAATTATTATAGTGATAATATTACAATAAAAATCTGTATCTTTCACTTCATTAACAATTAATTTTAACTACAGAGTTTAAATACGAAAATGAAATTTTTTTACTGTGCATAGCACGGGTATGAATCTAGTAATAATAATAATAATAATAATAATAATAAAAGCCTTTTTCCATTTTCTTTCCATTTTCTCAGCTCGAATGTTGGCAGNGTTAATTAAAAATAAATCAGATCCAAGGGTTGAGAATGGATATGTCATACCATGACATATATTGTTAATGTCAGTAGAACGGCTCCGATAATAATAATAATAATAATAATAATAATAATAATAATAATAATAATAATAATAATAATAATAATAATAATAATAATAATAATAATAATAATAATAATAATAATAATAATAATAATAATAATAATAATAATAATAATAATAATAATAATAATAATAATAATAATAATAATAATAATAATAATAATAATAAAAGCCTTTTTCCATTTTCTTTCCATTTTCTCAGCTCGAATGTTGGCAGGAATAAATCTTGGATTGCTTTGCGGCGAGAAATAGATCTTGTTGTTAAAGGCTATATAGAGTTAAGGATATGGTATTTTTTGATTGCACACAATAAAGGTTTAAAAGATTGCTATATTCTTCTCCTAGAACTTTTTAATGCCTCCATTGTTTCTTCTTGGAATCTGCTAGCAAATTCAGTAGCCTTAGTCATATAGAGGTGGGAGCACAGGCTTTAACAAAAGGCTTAATCTTTGGGTTTAAAGCCTGCAATGTAACTATCTAGAAAATGTTCTTGGGGTATTGTGGGCTTCTGTCAAATCAATAGTCCTTTTAACTCTTCAAACTTATCAACCTATTATTATCTATCGGTTTTTTCCACAATATTACTTTCATTTGTCCCGAAAAAAAGGACCCCATTTCCTTTTCAATACGCCGCAAACACGACTCATCTTTCTAGTTTTGGAAAAACTTTCTATCAGTCACAACCGTTCTCTCCTCTGCATCTCTTTCAATCACCTAATTTTACTCTTTCTAAATTTTTTTTGCCAAACCGGATGAGCAACCTTATTTTGGAACGTATGTCATCCTTGAATTTATATTAGCACATAGGCCCACAATGAATTTTTCTTATTCAACATTATCCTCATTTTGAACATGGTTATTGAATAATTCAGGTAGGGGTGAGCGTGGTACGGTATTTAGCTCGTACAGATACCGTACCAAATATTTCGGTTCGGTATGAGATTTTACGTTGTACCGATCCCGATCCCAAAGAATCGGTTCGGTATGGTTCGGGATTGGTTTCAGTATGAATCGGGATGAATATATACCTACCTAGTTTACCTACCTATTTTTTATTTAGTATGTATGTTCGGTTCGGGAATTTCAGTATGGGAAGTAACCTCGTACCGTTCCCAAATACCGGACCGACCGTTCGGCTCGGTACGGTATTTAGCTCGTACCGATACCGTACCAAATATTTCGGTTCGGTATGAGATTTTACGTTGTACCGATCCTGATCCCGAAGAATCGGTTCGGTATGGTTCGGGATTGGTTTCAGTATGAATCGGGATGAATATATACCTACCTAGTTTACCTACCTATTTTTTATTTAGTATGTATGTTCGGTTCGGGAATTTCGGTATGGGAAGTAACCTCGTACCGTTCCCAAATACCGGATCGACTGTTCGGCTCGGTACGGTTCGGTTTCTTTTTGGTACTTTATCGGTTTGGTATTTTTCGGTTCGGTATTCTCGGTTTTTTCGGGAAACATCGGGATCAGTTCGGTCCTTGCTCACCCCTAAATTCAGGCATGGTTGACGATATTTTTAATCATGCAAAGTACCATATCTCTTCTTGATGAAGTTGTGAAGAAAGAAACTATGAGATGACAGAGAATTGAGTGAGAGTATGGGACTCAAAGAAAATAAGAAAGAAAATGTTTCATTCATTGAATAATTCTTACAAAGCGTACATGCATTCCAAAGTGTCTAACAACCTCAAAGAACACAACTAACCACTCTAACCAACCAACCGACTTAGGGCCTGTTTTTTAGGACTGGAAAAAAAAAACTGGATGTTGGAAGAAACTGAAAGGAATTAGAAGAACTGGAAGAAACTGGAAGAAATTGGAAAAACTGAAAAAAATTAAAAGAAACTGCAAAAACTAGAAAAAATTGAAAAATCTAAAAAAAGTTTTAAATTTTTTTTATGAGTAGTTTTATATTATTCTCATCTGATTCTTGTTGTTATAAATTATTATTATTATTATTATTACTATTATTATTGTTGTTGTTGTTGTTGTTGGTGGTGGTGGTGGTAGTAGTGATGCTGTTATCACGTTATCTTAATGATTGTCTTTAGGAGTAAAACATTACGAGTATTATTTTTCATATATAAAAAAGCTAGTTTTAAAAAAATAATTAGAATATAAAATTAGCATAAATATTAAACTTCTTGGGTCATTTTTTCTTTTTCAAAATGTAGTTTTCTCTTGGTTTTCATAATGTAGTACTCCCCACCACATTCCATATTTTATATTTAAAATTAAAATATTGATGTTTACCTTATATAAATTTAGATTAAAAAACATTCTATATAACTATTTATCCATAATTTTTTTAAATATTTTCCTAATTTTTCATGTAGATTAATATACAAAAAATCGGTACTATTCATATTAAAAAATTGAAGAAAAATCAAAAATGAATGTGAATCATAAAAATAGTGAGATGAAAAAATGAAATAATTTATAAACTATAGTTATGAACATAAAAGTTATAATTAAAAAAAGTTGTAATAATGATGATGATGATGATGATGATGATCATAATAATAATAATAATAATAATAATAATAATAATAATAATAATAATAATAATAAATTTTTTTAGAGTAATTTGTCAAAAAGTAGAAAGAATTTGAAGAAATAAATATAGTTGGAAGAAATTAGAAGAAACAGGAAAAAACTTGAAGAAACTAGAAAAAACTAGAAGAGCTGGAAGAAACTGAAAAGAACTGGAAGGAACTAGAAGATAAGAGTTCAAGCTCTAAAGAACAGGCCTTTAATAAGTTTATAAATTGTACTTTATAGAGTGAAGTTTTCCAAATATAGCGTAAATTCTAAGAAATTACAATCATATTCTTCGATATTCGGGAACTATCCCATTATTAGTTCTTTGTGGAGTATTTGTGGAAATCAATATTTCATTCAATGACTGATTATGGAATGATAGCTAAATATTGAGGACCACAAGCTTAATATCTTAGAATTGAGAATTCTATATGAAAACATCCCCGTTATATATATTAAGGATAAATAACTAAATCCTTTTATTTTACTTATATTTGTAAAATACTTATTAACTTAGGCTTATCTCTTAGCATTCTTATCCATATGTAGATAGTTGTAAGTCACCTAGTTTAATGCCTAAGGGTTAGCTAGTTCAAATCTCCTCCATGTACGTTTGTGTATAAAGCCACTGGATGTACTAATATGAATCAATCAAGATTGACTGCATACCATTGTTCTCTATATGGTATCAGAGCATTAAAAGAATTTTTTTCTTTTCCGATCCTTTTTCGCGTTATTCCCTGCGCAACTCCTCGGCGACACCATGGCTCCCACGCCTGCCTATTCGCCCGTTATCACCAAAGACACTTCGGTGATCCAACTCCATGCCAAGACTCATTTTCCAATCAAGTTGGTATCCACCAACTTCGCCATCTGGCAACGCCAGGTCCGATCTACTCTCATCGGTTTACATCTCCTTGGCTATATTGATGGTACCATGGCTGCTCCGCCCATGATTCTGGCTGAATCCGCCAATCCTTGCTACTCTATTTGGTTTTGTCAAGATCAATCTATCGTCGGTGCTCTGTTTGGCAGCTGTTCTGATCAGGTTCAGCCTCTTATCTCTAATGCCGATACCTCTCATGCTGCTTGGACAAGCCTTCACTCTGTGTTCGCAAGCGCCAGCCGCGGGAGGGTTGTATCTCTCAAAACCAAACTCGGAAAGAATCCTCGTGGGGATCGTTCTATGGTTGAATACTTATTTGACATGCAATCCCTTGCGAATGAACTTTCTCTCATTCAATGTCTTATTTCTGAGGAAGATCTTGTCTGTCACGTCTTGAATCAAGTCAGTGATGAGTACGACTCCATTACGTCTGCGGCCTTGCTCTGTGTCCCACCTCCATTCCTTTTACCGAACTTCAGGATGTGTTAAAGGAGCATGAGCGGAAGCTCAAGGCTGCGGAAGATACCAAGGCTGTGGTTGTCGCTACTACCAATGTCACGCAGCATCAACGCCACTCCGGGGGTAGGTCCGCCGTGCGTGACTCTTATTCCCACGACTCCTCGAGCAGCAGTGGTGTTAAGAGGGGCAGTAGTGGCAGTCGTGGTTCTCGGTTCTCCAAGCCGTCCCACTCGTGTCAATTCTGTGACATCCCGGGTCATGACGTGAAGGAGTGCCGCAAATTATCTCGCTTCCTTCGCACTCATGGTGTTAATTCTCTTCCCACAGCAAATGCTACAACTATGGCTGGTGTCATCACACCGCCCTGACTACTCAGTCTCTTCATTCTTTCTCTGATTACAGGGGTCCAGATGAGATCCGCTTGGGCAATGGTAACAGTCTTCCCATTACACATACTGGTCATACCACTATCCCTACTCCCTCTCAGCCTTTGGTAACGTCATCTTGTTTTTGTATCTCAATTGTGTCAATCTAACCAGGTTTCCGTTGAATTTTTTCCCTTTTCGTTTCATGTTAACGATCTGAAAATGGGGGTGAAAGTTCTACACGGGGATAACTTGGATGGTGTCTACTATGCCCGGTCATCTCTTCCTTCTCCGCAAGTTCATTGTCACGACCGTAGCTCTCTTTCCGATTTTCATCACAGTTTGGGTCATCCGTCAAATAAAACTATGTTGTCTTTGTTTCGTTTATGTAATAAATCCTTTCGCATGAAAGATGTTCATAATTTTCACTGTTCCTCTTGTGCAATAAATAAAAGTCACAAACTTCCTTTTCATGAAAATTCTCTTGTCAGCACTGCTCCCCTTGAATTGCTCTATTCAGATGTTTGGTCATGCAAAGAGCGTTCTATTGATGGTTATCTATATTATGTTCTCTTTGTTGACCATTTCACTAAATATGTTTGGTTGTATCCGTTGTCACGCAAATCTGATGTGTTTAAAATTTTCCCCCACTTTAAACAGTTAGTGGAAAATTTTTTTAAGCGCAAAATTGTTACTGTTTACTCCAACAATGGCGGGGAGTTTCTTAAACTACGCCCCATGCTAAGTTCTTGTGGTATTTCACATTTCACAACTCCTCCTCACACTCCGGAGCATAATGGCACGGCTGAGAGACGTCACCGCCATATAGTTGAGACCGGACTCTCCCTGCTCCATCATGCTCGCCTTCCTCTATCCTATTGGTCCTACGCCTTTCAAACTGCGGTTTATCTCATTAATCGCATGCCCACACCTATTCTCGCCCACAAGTGACCGTATCAGGTTCTCTTTGGGATGGCTCCTAACTATCTCAAACTTCAACCGTTCGGTTGCTTGTGTTATCCTTGGTTACGCCCTTATAACACCCACAAACTCCAACCCCGGTCTACCACGTGCATTCTTCTCGGGTATTCCACGACGCAATCGGCCTACAAATGTCTCAATATCTCCACCAATCGCCTTTACGTGTCTCGTCATGTTCAATTTGTTCCCCATGTTTATCCTTCTATCAAACTCCCTGTCCCCTCCTCCTCTCCTGCCTCTTCTTCCGCTACCTCATCTCCCTCATATTCTCCTCCTTTTTCCTCCTCTCCCTACCCTATTCCAATCACCTAACCTCCCCATACTCTCATCACCCCTCCCACTGTCCCTGTGTCACACACTCCATGCCCTATCTCTACCTCTTCTCCTCACACTATTTTGCACTCCAATCAACCTCGGCACTCCCTTTCCCAACCGGTTGATCCTCCTACTGTCCCTCCCCGCCCAGTGCGCTCTCGTCGTCCCAATTCTCGTTACTAAAATTCCGACTTTATCTCCCGTCCTCCCACTGTTAACCTTGCCACTAAACATCCCCTTCCGCTTACTCATGAACCCAAGACTGTTGTTCAGGCTCTAAAGGACACTCGTTGGCGGCAAGCTATGGACGATGAATATGCAGCTCTTTTACGAAACCAAACATGGCATCTTGTTCCGCGCCCATCGCAGAAGGCTATTTGATGTAAGTGGATTTTCAGGATTAAACGCAAGGCTGACGGGTCCATTGATCGCTACAAAGCACGCCTTGTGGCTAAGGGTTATCTCCAGGAGGCGGGTCGTGATTATTTTGAAACTTTCAGTCCCTTGATGAAGCCGGTTACCATTCGTCTAGTGCTCAGTATTGCCTTGGCTAATACTTGGCCACTCCGGCAACTTGATATCAACAATGCCTTTTTGAATGGCATGTTAGACGAACAGGTTTTCATGGAGCAACCCCCAGGCTATGTTCATCCGGAGTTTCCTACTCATGTCTATCACCTCTCAAAGGCTCTTTATGGTTTGAAGCAAGCTCTTCGGACTTGGTACGAAGCTCTGTCGCGTTTCTTGGTCACTACTGGTTTTGCTCGTGCTCAGTCTGACCCTTCGTTGTTCGTCTATCATTGTGATGGTGTTCTTGCCTACTTCTTGGTCTATGTTGATGATATTATTCTTACGGACAACTCTCCTTCTTTTCTGGATTCATTTGTTCGGACTCTAGCGGCACGGTTCTCTCTTGAGGACCTCGGGGTTTTAAGTCACTTCTTGGGGGTCGAAGTCATTCCTACGAAGAGTGGCTAGTTTCTTTCTCAGTCCCAATATATTCTTGATATCCTTGAAGCTGTTTCCATGACTGGTGCGAAAGAGGTTGCCACCCCGATGATCGCTGATGTCCAGTCCTCTTCTGCAGCAGACTCACTGGTCACAGATATCACAGCCTATCGTCGGGTTCTTGGACGTTTGCAGTACCTCTCGTTGACCCGGCCTGATGTGTCTTTTGCAGTGAATAAATTAGCACAGTCCATGCATGCTCCCACGGAACGACAATGGTTGGGGCTCGAACGTGTCTTGCGGTATCTCAAGGGCACTCTTTTTCATGGTTTATTCTTGTCCAGCACAGTCCCTTTACGCCTTACTGCGTTTTCTGATGCTGATTGGGGTGGTGTTTCTGAAGGTGGTCGGTCGACAACGGCATATGCTCTGTATCTTGGCCCTAACATTATCTCCTGGAAGTCTGCACGACAAAAGAGTGTCTCACGGTCCTCTACGGAAGCTGAGTATCGGGCTCTAGCCAATGCTGTGGCGGAACTACAATGGGTTAAAAATCTGCTTTCTGAACTCTGTCTCACCGTGCCGCAACCGCCTACACTTTTTTGTGATAATACCAGTGCTCTTTATGTTTGTAAGAATCCCGTGTTTCATTCTCGAATGAAGCATCTTGCTTTGGATTATTTTTTTGTTCGAGAACTTGTTGCGGATGACAAGCTCCGAGTTGCTCATGTTCGCACTACTGACCAGCTCGCTGATATTCTCACCAAGCCCCTTTCTCGTCCGCTATTCACGAAGTTCCGATCCAAGATTGGTGTCTCCGATGGATCCTCCATCTTGCGGGGGCGTATTAAGGATAAATAACTAAATCCTTTTATTTTACTTATATTTGTAAAATACTTATTAACTTAGGCTTATCTCTTAGCATTCTTATCCATATGTAGATAGTTGTAACTCACCTAGTTTAATGCCTAAGGGTTAGCTAGTTCAAATCTCCTCCATGTACGTTTGTGTATAAAGCCACTGGATGTACTATTATGAATCAATCAAGATTGACTGCATACCATTGTTCTCTATAATATAAACCATTTATAAAATTTACTCTTAATTCTATCAAAATTAACAAACTCCCTTCTGTGTATACACAGTAACGATAGTGTGGAGTCGAGCAAATCAAACACGGGAATCTTACATACCATGTGTATGTGTCTAGAAGTATAACACAAGAATCACAGTCTCTCCCTCAATATATGTTGAAGGAATACGAAGTACTCCATATTACGGAGTAAATTATAAAGCGTCAATAGCACTAAAACAACAAAGCGTCATAACCCTTTTTCGATTAATAAAAAATTAATAATTAATGGATTGTATACAATACTCTGCACAATCCCTAATCCTTGGACAAGCAAAATTGGCTCAACATCTGCTATTCTGCTAATATTGGGCATATCAGTATCAATAAAATCAAATTTAGAGGAAACTCTAATTTACACCAGAAGGGCAGAGGAAAAAACAAAAATGACTGTTGAAAATACAAAAATATATTTAATGATTTGACAATATGGAGTTTTTTTTACTGATACACTATGTTAGCAGCTTTCCACCAGATCCAACTGGTATCAAACATCCCATATTCACAAGGCCCAGTCCTGCAGGCACAATAGTTTTGCAGCTTTATCTATAAGAGTTCTTTTGTTTCTTTGGGTGCTGGTCAACGTCCATAAATTCACCTGTAAGCCTGGAAATGCAATTCAAAAGCCAACAAAGATTAAATCCCTTTGAAAAACAAAAAGGTACAGATTGTGCACTGCTCAGAATCATAACACAAATAAACCATAAACAAAATGTTGCGTTCGGTACGAAATATGCATTACCTCACACACACTGGTTTATTTTGATCTTTTGGTGTGGGAAGGATTTATAATATTGACATATAAAACTTTGTTAGGCACAGTAACCCTGCAAACATAGGTTGTTTGTTGAAAGATAGACTGAGGGGCCGTTCGCTTGGGCTTAATTTCAATACTGTTCTGTTCTGTTCAATAATGCTTACTTCAAAGTTACTCTACAAAGCATAGCATTTTGAGCCTACTAATTCATAGAATACTTTAAATGGAAAAATAGCATATTTCTGTCCTTGAATTGGGTGGGCACTTCGCTTTTCTAGTATTGTGTGTTTGTGTGGCTGTCTACACAAACACATTCAGGTATACTTCTGAGATTTTGATTTATCAATAAAAATGATTACCAATGGTAATTATTAATGCCTTTTGGCCCAGTAAGATGTCCAATCCACAAATTGAGTATTGAGATAGGCTCGGCGACTATATCATTTTGCCACTCCATAAGAAGATCCAAATCATACCGATTCAAATGACTAGCACCCACTGTGACCTCATCCGAACAATAATGTTTGGTGGATAGCGCTAAAGATCTCAGGGATATCCCGAAAGACAACCATTGTATATTGTGGCCTGGAGTACAAGTGTACAACCACTTGGGGATGTCCTGAAGGGTTGACGTCAGAAGCGGACAAGGGTGACTGGAAGTCGGCAGAACTCTGCTGGTTCGGTCTTGCCCAAGGCCACAATCTCTTTCCATTGGCAGAGAGGGGGTTCGGTCTTGCCCAAGGCCGCAGAATAGAGCTCCAGATAACTCCTTATTTCATCTTATATTTATTAGGAAGCAATGCTATTAAAGGAAACAAAGTAATTACATAGCAAGCTCCCACACATGCAGCCCATGCTTCGAAGTTCGAACATACACGCCACCTTCCTGTTACGTACAACCGATGAAAGCACCTGTAAAATCAGTCAATCAATTGGCAACAGGGTTATCCTCAAACATGAAAGTTGGTAATGCCTCCAGAAAAGTGTCTTATGTTTCTCATGTGGTTTCAAATAACTGGCTTTCCAAATGTGCCCCGTTGTTGAGGTGGTCTCAAAGAATGGAAGCCCATGGGAGAGGCAATCATTGTTCTTTCATGGGTGGTGGGATCCACATTTCCACTGGCATGGTCACGTACTCCTGTTATGGGATTTCAACACATGAAACACATCATGTATTTTGCTACGGGCTAGTAGCTGAAGCTTAGATGCATCCTCCCCCATTTTCCAAGCGAGCATGTGATGTTGTGAAATGGTCCGAAGAACTAGGGTAAACTTTTGATGGCATTGAACAAAAGATAAGAGCAATTAGGATGAATGCCCACCAGAATACTATACCCAATCCCCCGGAGGAAATGACATAGGTCAATGTCTATTATCATATTTCGCCTTCATGTGAGCTTGAGCCCATCGAACAACACAAAATGTCAAAGCTATCTCAGTCAATAAGGGCGCATTTGACCATATTCAATTTTGTTCTGCCCTAAGTAGCAAGTATAGGGTACCAATATATGGGCAGTCCCATCCATACAACATGCAAAAAGGAGTCTCATTGAGGGAAGATATTTCAGTATTAAGTTACACACTTGTAAACTGAGCCTTGTTCTCTCCAAAGAGTCCAAAGGGATTATTATCCTTACACCTAAATAAATCAGTGTTCTCATTATATTCCATTCTCCATTTCTTAAGCCCCTCTACGGCTCTACCACTTGGTATCAGAGGCTTTTCTTGTTCAACGTGTTCAACACTAGAACTACATCACAAAACAATCAACACCCCCCCCCCCCCCCGCCATACACACACACGCAATCTCACCAAAACCCATCTCCAAATGCATTGACCCAACACTTATCAACCATTGTCTCTCAACTCGAAACCCTTGTTACTCTTGCTGCTGACGTAGCTGCACTTAGGGTCCAAACCAGCACTCTCCACTAAGCTGAAAATTGTACAGGGGTCAACTCGACGCTAGCCACAGGACACATTATGGTTAGCAGAATACACGGCAAAATGGTTCCCATGGCGAGGAAGACAGAGGCACGGAGAACTCACGCAGGTACCATCCTAGACATCCTTCTGCAACAGTTGATTTTCTACGATCCGATGGAGGTGGCCCTCATGGTTGGGCTTTAAAAGAGGAAAAATATTTCCAGCATTATCAGGTTCCTAACGAGTTCAATGTAAAGACTGCATACATACATCTAGAAGTTGATACCCGGGATTTCATTCCTTGGATTAATGGTGAGATGAAATCATCCAATGAGACTTTCTTTTTGCAAACTCTGCATGAAAATTATGGTCTGCTGGAATTTCTGCCCCATTAGGTAAGCAAGAACAATTTCAGAGGACCGGTAAGAGTTTGCATGGAGGGCTGCTGGAGTAGAGGAAAGGCATGATTACCTGAATATTGTTCGCATGGAGTATTTCAGGCAGGCATCAACAACAAACTGCAGCCTGATGTTTGAATCCATAAGCCCAAGACAGTTTATAGAGCCATGAATTTGACACTTGAATTTGAAGCTAAGGAGACCTCAAATCTGGTTACCACCAAATTCGAATGAACCTCATTGGTGCATGAATTAGGACTTGAGAGGAGATAATTCTTGCTTTTTGTGTGCAAGTTGGGAATGGGGACGTCATTCACCATTCAGTGCAATTGTATATGTTGGAAGGTATTCATAGAGTTACCTGGGCTAAAAATATGTTAGGACTATTACCCCTTTTCCTTTTGGGGAGGGGTGGGGTGGACCTGGTGTTGAGGCCTGAGGGTTAACAGCTCGCATCTTTAGACACAGTCCAAGCCAACTAGAATAAGACGTTCATGCTTTTCTACTAGGATGGAAGGAAATACAAATTGCAAGGACTTCCATCCAAATCTAAGCCTTAGATTACTTTTCAATCATAATCCAAGGTGCCATCAGACTTGGGTAATACGCTTCCACAGTCTGATGATAATCATAACTTATTGCTAGCTTACCAAGATGTTTTTTCCGAAGCTACTTCTCTACCCTTCACTCAATAACACCCATGCAATTCCCTTTCTTCCAAATGCAACTTCGCTAAACATTCAACCCTATCGCTATCCACACTATCAAAAAGCTGAAAATGAAACCTAACATAATACACTGTTGGCTTTGAAATCATAAAAATCAAGCCCTAGTCCCTTTGCTAGCCCAGTTTTGTTTGTTAAGAAAAGATGGAACTTGGGGATTTTGTGCCGATTAAACCATCCCCTATGTTATTAGTAATAATATTAGTATTTTAGTTAAGTCCTGAGAATATGGCAGAATCTGATTTGGCCATTAATATGGGTGATTTAGGCATTAATATGGGAGATATAGTTTCCTTATATTAGCACCCTTCTTATGTATATATATAGTCATTTTGTAATATGTAATTATGTATTATGAGGAAAACCTCTGATTATCAGTCACATGGTATCAGAGCCAGTGTGCTCTAGGGTTAGGGTTCATTATTTGTAAAAAAAGGGGGGGCATCTGCCATTTTGACGCTGTCTCTAAGGGTGCTCGCCTGACGTCACCGCCACCGTGGGTGGAGTCGCACGTTGCAGGAGAACAATTCTGGAGAATCTCTCCTTCGTTGGAGACCTCACGTCAGATCCACTGTAAAAAATCACTGTCAGGGTCGCCTGAGTCATCTAAGCACCTGTGCAGACTCAGTTTGGACATTCAGTGGGTGATTTTTGCTCTGTCTTCCTCTGCCGATCAGGTTTTGTTCAAATTTTAGTCCATTGAAATGGGTGATAAGTCTAGTGTCATCACTGAAGTTTTTCCAGTCATGTCAAAAATCACAGAGAGGAAACTTAATTCCTCTAATTATCTGGAATGGGTTACGACTATTAAACTATATCTCCGAAGTACTGACAAGGACGATCATATGACTGATGATCCTCCTAAGGATGCAACTACTAAGAAAGTGTGGTTGAGGGATGATGCTCGACTATTCCTCCAAATCCGGAACTCAATTGATGGGGATGTGCTTGGGTTAGTTGGCCATTGTGAAACAGTTAAAGACTTGATGGAATATTTGGAATTTCTATATTCAGGTAAGGGAAATCTTACTCGTATCTATGACGTATGTAAGGCTTTCTATCGGGCAGACCAGCAGGATCAATCTCTTCAAGCATATTTCATGGACTTCAAGAAGACATATGAGGCCTTAAATTCATTGATGCCCTTCACTCCAGATGTCAAAACTCAGCAACAACAGCGAGAGCAGATGGCAACAATGAGTTTCTTGGCAGGCTTGGCCCCGAGATTTGAGGCTGCCCGAGAAAGGGTCCTTGCAGACTC